CGCCGTTTAGTAGATCTTCCCTTCCAGAGACAGACACAGCTACTGCAGAACACCAAACTCTCAAACTGCATACAAGGGAATGCTCCAAACTCCCGAACTGCATTCAAAGTAGCACTCCAAACTCCCGAACTGGAACCTCACGAATAGCTGCTAGCAGACGAACAGGAAAAGCACCCAAGCGGCTTACACTCCTGGCAATCAGTCTCTAACAGCATGCAATAAATCCCCCCAAAGACGAGACAGAGCTCCAGGTTCAAGCTATGGTCTGGTTTATTGAATGCTATCCGGCCCAGTATTTATGCAAGTCTCCCAGCTGGTGGACACTCCCCACGGGACCAAATGGGAGACTGTGACAAAGGACAGACATTAACCAATGACAGACACACAGAGGTAAAACATCCCCACAATGCATCCTAATTTCCCTCCCTCTGTCCTGGAGATAAATGGGAAGTAATCCAATTATCTGCCAGGACAGAGGCAAAACTCCATTAACCACATGGCAGTAAAAGATATAAAAATGTATAAAGTTACAACTGTTGCACAAAACATATACATTCTACCTATCCCCAGATAGCTTAGATCTGAGCGCACATTATTACCGGATGGCGCTCAGATCACATCCACACAGTTTAATTGCCATGGATCCAAAGTCTTTCCCATAGTCTTTCGTTACACAAATAGGCTCCATGGCATGGCTATCTGGGGTAATGCTGTTCATACGGTTAAACTACCGAATGAACAGGCATCCGGTTAAATGACCGAATGCAGACGCAAGGATGTTGACGGCTCAACGGTGTTCGCGCAAATAAGTGTCCGTTTCCAGTTCCATAGTTTGGGCGCTGAACACCGCTGACTGTTCAGGACTTTAAAATGGCCGCCGCCACGTGTTCAGCAAATGAACAAAGGCCACCCAGCATTCGTCAATTATGCTGCTGTTAACCACAGCTTCTGGGAGGTAAATTGCCAACACACTCCCAATACAGGTGGTCCAGTCATTCGGTTGTTTGTTCAGTAGATTGAATCTACTGAACGCCGGGCAGAAAGGCACGAACAAGCTTTTTCTGCAGGGCAAAAGAAGGCTTTTTAACATGGGGCCATAGTCCAAGGGGAACCGGCGGGCAACCAGGCTTCTCCAATGCTTCGTGGCGAGGTTGGTTTCGCCACACCGTGCATGCGCATTAGAGCTCTCCATAGGAAAGCATTGAAAATGCTTTTTAATGCTTTCCTTTGGGGAATTGAGCGACGCTGGAGGTCCTCACACAGCGTGAGGACTTCCACCGGCGCTCTAGCACAGAAAACCTGTGCTATGAAGCAAGAAGTGCCTTCTTGAGGCACTTGCTGTTTAAACATTGACTGGTAAGTGTAAATGGCAAAGCTTAAAAAAACAATGGACAAGGAAGATGGAGGCACTCAGGTATAAATATAGCAGTATGCTGTAGTCAGGCATAAAACATAAT